CCCCCCCCCCACAGATGCTCCCTGCGGGCGTCTCTGGTGCACCAGGACAGGCTGTGGGGACACAGTCCAGCGATCACACAGTTCTGGGTCTCATAGAGTGAATTCTCTCATCGCCACCCAACTACTATCACAACAAGAGCATTTCTCCCTCGGCAGAAATGTGTCCAAGCCTCACCCCAGCCCCCTACCTACCCTGCCCGGCATGGAAGGATCGTGTGAAATAGGCCTGTCACTCAGTCATGCTCGGCCTAGGCTTCGGCCAGCAGAGGCGGGACAAGATGTTTAACATCCCCCAGCCCCGAGACCCCTCTGACGAAAGCTTCCTGTGCTGTGTTCACAGGTGACTGCTGGCTGTTGGCAGCCATCGCCTCCCTCACCCTGAATGAAGAAATCCTGGCTCGAGTTGTCCCCTTTGACCAGAGCTTCCAGGAAAACTATGCAGGGATCTTCCACTTCCAGGTAACTAGTGGTCGGCCCAAGCTGCTCCTCCACAGGTCCAGGGGCCTAGGAGCAGGTTCTGGGGCCTAGGAACATGCCCTGGGGTAGGAACATGCCCTGGGGGCTAGGAGCAGGTCCTGGGGGCTAAGAGCAGGTCCTGGGGGCTAGGAACAGGTCCTGGGGGTTAGGAACATGCCCTGGGGGTTAGGAGCAGGTCCTGAGGGCTAGAGACAAGTCCTAGAAGCTAAAAGCAGGTCCTGGGGCCTAGAAACATCATAGTTCCCAGCTAAGAGAAGGTCTGGGGACTAGGAGCAGGTCCTGGAAGCTAGGAGCAGGTCCCTGGCTTGGCCTAGCCCATCAGTCCCCAGTGTTTGCTGACTCCTACGAGCAATGCTGTTCTACAAAGGACACAGAAACTGCAGAAAGCTCCCTGCCTGCCCTGACTCAGGACCCTGTGAGGATGGCAAGGGGGGGAGGCTTTTGGGACAGGATAGGAGGGAGGCAGAACAGGTGCTTAGAGGTAATTCTGAGGTTTCAAAGAAAGTTTATTATCTGAGGTCTGAGACCAAATGTTAAGGGACTGCTCACTGTCCCTCTCTCATGCTGGTAAATGAGGAATATTTTTAAAAGCTGAAGGCCCCGGGCAGAATGCTGGAGCCGTGGGTGTGGGTTTGGAGGGAGGGACCAGTGCCACTGTCCTCGGTTTCTCAGCGGGGACTTGCCCAGGGGGGAGGTTTCAAAGAAGGGTCTCCTCCCAGATGGGCTCAGGAAAGCCACACAAGCAGTTCATGCTCAGCTGACCC